GATCATAAAAAATCTATCCTCCCTCAGCAACCAGTTTAACCCCTTGTTCCATGGGTGAATCAAGAGGCTGTGATCCCAACATACCTTTCTCAGTGAGCAAATCCAGGACATATTTTCGCTGTGACAAAACAATATCTTTCCGTGACCGTGCCACCTCAATCCCTAGGAAATATTTCAATTTCCCTAAGTCTTTAGTTTGAAACTGTTAATGAAGATAGATTTTTAGTTCAGCTATACCAATTAAATCATCTCCCGTGATGATAATATCATCAACATACACAGTCAAGAACAACTTGCCTCCCCCTGATTGCTTATAAAAGAAAGAGTGGATCATTGCCATATCTAGATAGTCCAAAAGAAAGTATAGCCTAAGAAAATCTTCCAAATCACACTCATGGAGATTGCTTCAAATCATACAAAGACTTTTTAATTTGCAAACCAGTCCTCGAGACTCCCCCTGAGCAACAAACCCCGGAGGTTGCTCCATATAAACTTCTTCATGAAGATTACCATGCAAGAAAGCATTCTTGACATCAAGTTGAGACAAGGGCTAGTTATGTGTTGCAGCAAGAGGGATCAAAATACAAACATAAGTAAGCTTGACAACAGGAGAAAAAGTATCAAGATAGTCAACCCCATACACTTGAGCATACCCTTTTGCAACAAGTCGTGCTTTTAAGCGAGCAAGAGAATCATCAAGATTGACTTTCACAACATACACCCACCGACAACCAATAGCAGTTTTGCCTGAGGGAAGAGGTACAAATTCCCAAGCTTGATTAACCTATAGAGCCTTTAATTCTTCTTCCATAGTTGTCCTCCAGCCAGAACTTTGTAATGCCTCAGCTACTGACTTGGGTATAGGATTTTGTTCAACAGCACTAAAAGAAAGGAGACACAGAAGAGTATGAAATAAAATTTGCAATAGAATGTTGAGTACAAGTACGTGTACCTTTGTGATGAGCAATAGGAAGATCAAGATCAGACACAGGAGGAGGATCAACTAATGGTGGATTTGGCACGGAAGATGACGTAGTAGTGACAGGAGGAAGAGGGGGGGCAGTAGCTACTCGAGGGCGCCAAGTACAAACCTACAAAGAAGGTGGTTCCTGTGTAGGTACTGATTCAACAGCTGGAGAAGTTGATTGAATCTTAGTCACATGTAAATCTTCATCCAACTCAGAAACAATAATTAGAACATCATGATAAGGAGTGGATTCAAAGAATGAAACATCAGCAGTTATAAAGTATTTTATCAATAATGAAGAATAACACCGATATCCCTTTTGAATACAAGAGTAACCCATAAACATACACTTGATAGCCCTGGAATCAAGTTTTGATACTCCGGGTCAATGATCCCGGACAAAACAGACACAACAAAAAATACGGGATGGTAAGTCAAATAGTGACTGATTTGGAAACAAAGTAGAAAAGGGTATACCACCTCGCAAAACAAAAGAAGGCATGCGATTAATAAGATAACATGCAGTCAGGACAATATCAGACCAAAAAAGTTTTAGGGACCTTCATCTCAAATAACATAGATCTAGTAACTTCCAACAAATGTCTATTCTTCCTTTCAGCAACACCATTATGTTGTGGTGTATTAGGGCAGGAAGATTCCTGAATCATACCATGTTGAGTCATGAAGTCAAAAAAGGGTGCAAAAAAGTACTCCTTAGCATTATCAGAATGCAAAATTTTAACATGCACACCAAACTGAGTATAAATTTCAAATATAAATGCACGAAATATAGAAAATAACTCTGAACGACTTTTCATTAAATATAACCAAGTGACTCTGGAATAGTCATCAACAAAGGTAACAAAGTATCTAAAACCTAAATTAGAAACCACATGACAAGGATCCCAAATATCTGAATGAACTAACAAAAAAGGAGATGCTCCTTGTTTAATGACTCAAGATGGATAACTGACACGATGTAATTTGCCAAGTTGACATGACTCACACTCTAAACTAGAAATGGACTTGAAGATGGAATCTAACTTTTGAAAACTATGTAAAGAAGGAAGACCAAGACAACAACGGATCTAATGTGGAGATGTAACACTAGAGCACGCAATGGAAGGAGCATATTCAAGCACATATAGCCCCCATACCTCACGTCCTTTACCAATCGTCCTCTTCATAGCCAGATCCTGGAAAATACAAGAATCGGGATAGAAATTTACTTAACACTGAAAGTTTTTAGTAAGTTTACTAATAGACATGAGATTAAATAGAAATTGCGGAAGATAAAGCACTGAGGATAACGGCAATGAAGAAGTGGGATGAACAATGCCAATCCCTTTAACATGTGTAGATTAACCATTAGCTATAGTAACTATGGATGAAGATGGAGTGAGCGAGGAGAATATACCTGAAAGACCCAACATGTGATCAAAGCTCCTGAATCAATGATCCAAGGATGAGAAGCAGCTGAAAGGCATGCAACGGCATTACCTGTCTGTACCAAAGTAGCAGTGGAAGAAGCAGGCTGTGAAGTCTGAAATTGATTGTACAACGCAAATTCTTCATTAGACATAACCACTACCTTTCCGTCGAAAGATTGTGGAGAAGAGTCAGTACCCAATGTAGTATTTGCAAACTATTATTGCTGTCCTAGTCTCCCATGTAACTTGTAGCAAAATTTCTGTATATGACCAGGTTTGCCACAGTAATGACAAGTCCATGTAGCCCTTGAGCTATCAGTAGACAGGTGGGATTGTCCATAAATATTTTGCTGGCCATGATGTCTCCCTGTTCCTGTGCCTCAGCCTCCCCCTCAGCCCCCACGTCCATTAGAACCTCCACAGTTTCCTCCATCTCTCCTACTTCCACTACCAGTTCCAGATTGGGACACAAGCTAAACTATCTACTACAGATGTGGTATCCTGAGAAGTCTCACGAGACACTCGAAGAATCCGAACAAATGTATCTGTGAGTGATGCAATGGTCTTTCCACCAATAATCTGAGACGTAACAGTTTCATATTCTGGACCAATACCTCCAAGGATATGTGCATCAACAAGATCCTAATTTACATCATATCTGGGCTTAGACTCAGTTAAGTGTCTATGTTGATATCTACCCGTCAAAGTAAGCTTCACGACTTTCTTCCATTGATGAAAGTTAGCATTACCCTCAAGTTTCTTATTAGTAATTCGATTAGATGAAGAGGAAATCACCTCAGTCATCGCAGCATTATTCTTCTCCGGATCACCCTCATCTGTACTCTTTCTAGGTCACCCATTCTCCAATAATAATAAAAGATTTTCACAATATCTTTTTTTAGGCAACTCAACTCCAACAATTCAATAACCCAATACAATTGTAAGTCTCCACGACCCCCAAACACCACCAATTAAAAGACCAACCATTACCTAAAATTCAATTCAGCACAGTACCCAATAGGAGTGTCAATGGGTCGGGTCGGGTCGGGCCGAGTCTCCATGATATCCGACCCGACCCGAAACCACATAGTGACGCGCTTGACTCGACCCGACCCTGCCCGAGACCTGCAACGGGTCGGGTCGAGTCGGCCCAGGTCGGGTTTCGGTTCTTCTCTCTCTTTTTTTGTGGCAAATAGAATGGAAATGTGTGTGAACCCGAATAGCAAATAGTTATGGAATCACCACCCTCACCTTCGCATTTCCCCATTTATTCTTATTACAAATAGATTGGAAATGAGTGCTTAAATTCATTTCCTTGCGTGATTAACTGAAAACACCAACTAATCAACTGAACTCGCAAAGTTGAATGTGTCATGCGTGGTATGGGCTAGGTGATGTTAAGTACTTGCAGAGCATACTGTTGCAACAACACAATGATAAAGAAAACATTTAGGGTACCCGAACCGACCCGCAAACTTGTAGCTAGTGACTACCATCGATGGCCGCTAGCTTGGATAGGTGGATGTGCACTTGACCTATGTGCTAATGGTGAAAAGATTGGAGTTGAATGTTAGCAGGGTAATCCTCCTACTAGCATTTCCAACAATTCCTCCACTAAAATGGACAATTACAAAGAAAAAGATACATTGTTGAAGTGCCACCAAGTTCTCTGCAGCACTTCACCCTAGTATGTTCAACAACCCATTTGACAAAGATCTTGTCATGTGGCTATGCATCCTCATAGCTCATAGTCTAAACCACATCTGTATCTCCAAGCCTCTAAATGCCGCTTCCACTCGTACTTCATCTTAGCAGGAAAAGTGTTGATCAAGGGCCTTCACAATCGCACAACTAGTTAATTCAAAATGTAAAATATGAAACCAAATGCAACTTCAGCTATTTCTAGGCTTCTAGCTAATAGACATAGAAGGCAAGAGATATTTTTTTGCCAGGTAACCAATTCTAGCTTTGGGTTCATTTTGAAGATGGAACTTAACTATGGTCTGGATAGAAGAGACCTACCTAATTACAAGGTCAACAAATCTAGCTGAGGCGGCGAGTCGATCAATCCGACCCCGGTGCTATCACGACGACCACGTCCTGCAAGTCTTGATGCTTGACCTTTCTTCTGCATTTGACCACGAAATGTTAAGGAAGCTTCTCAAATTGCTCCCACAAATTGCAATAGGGATAATGTTTTTGAGTAAACTAAGAGAATCCCAAGATTTTTCATTTTACCAAGAGCAGCGGATTGGGGTCAGCTCCTTTTCTAACAAACACCCTGCAAGCCTGTTTCTTCTTCTCCTCTGCCCGCATTTTGGTAATGCTGGGCCTGTATATGATAATGGTCCTACCAATCTAACCAACAACAACTAATCCGGTGAGTCGGTGACCAACTCCAGTTGCTTCACAACCTCATCTAGGTCACCAGGACAAGTCTTGTGTAATTTGATCTAGGAAGCAAAACAAGTAATCTAAAGCACAAAACACAACTAATCTTCGCAAACACAAGCAGTGTCGCATTGCACAACTTGTCTTGCAGTTGTTTCACATTGAAAGATTACCATGTTTAGTTCGCAGCCATTAGTAGCATGAAGTAAGGCAAACCAGTGACCAGGAAGAAATGAGTTTAACCTCACTCAACATCCAATGAAGCTCGTCCCTAGCTTCCGATATCCTCTCTCTGTCATTACTACTGACCACAAAGATAAGTCCCTGGGTGTTTTGAAAATAGTGTCTCCACAGGGGTCGAATATGCACTTAAGCAGATCCATATGAGGCAACCAAATCTTGCACAAGGCATTAAAGACTTGGCAAAGAACATCACGCTTTAAGACCAAGAAACCATGGAGATGCATGAAATCACACTCCGACAATGCTTCCACTCTCAGACATAGAAGTAAATCCTAGTCGATAACACAGATTAAACTAAACTAGCCAAAACAATTGTCTAATTTTTGCAGATGAAACCCTTCCCTAGAACTAAAAAAACCAAAACCCATCAACTATTGAAGATCTTACCTAACAATTACCCCTCGAAAACCCACGATGCAAGGTCTTTCTTCTCCTTCACACTCAGATCAGGCACTTTCCCGCCCGTCCTTGGCTGCCCATAGGCCAGTTCTGGCACTTCTTCTTTCTCTTCTTCTAGAAGCTCGCTGCCCGCATATCCGTCGTGGCCGTCGTCTTCGCCGAAGATCTCCCCCTGAGGAACCACATCTGTCGAGGCCTCCGGATGCAGAGATGGTGTTTGAGTGAATGCTGCAATGGACGAGGAAGAGGAGAGAGGATGACAACAAGCGAGGCGAGAAGGAACGGAAGAGAACGAGGGTGGAATGGAAATTAGGGCTCGGAATGGGATAGCGTGTTTTTGGGTAGCGGTGTCAAAAGACCCGCGCCGGCCCGACCCCAGCAATACCCACTCCTGAAAGGCCCTATCCGAAAAAGACCAAGACCCGACCCCAAAATACCCCAAAATTTTGGGTAGGGTCAGGCCGGGTCGGGTCGGACTGGCGCGGATTTTTTTGACACCCCTTGGTACCCAACTACCCATGAATCTCAAAAACAGAGGAAGAAACCCTCTTAATTCCAAACTCTATCACTGCCGACAAGTTTCCTCAATGCACCACAACATTCAACACCCACAACATCTAGTGACATCCAGTGCAATACTTTAACAAAAGCGACTTCAGGTATTCATGTGTTGGCCAAAAGATTACGGAGCTAGTGACAAATGGATCATATTAATTCATGGGGACACAAAGAATCTAGTAACCACAGTCAGCGATGGCGAGGTAGCGCAAGCAAAGACAGCAAGCACATCGCACAAGTTGTAAGAGCAGTGCGAGGGTTGCGCGAGTCCCACGAGCAACGCGCGAGCAGTAGAAGAGCACGCACGAGAGCTAGGTTCGCACGAGAGCAAGGTTCGCGCAAGCAGAGCGCGAGGGTTGCACGAGTGAGGTTCGCGTGAGGGTGGAGCCCGCCGCGGCGGCGGCGGCGATGATGGTCGACGGTTCCGGCGGCTAGTCGACGGCGGCAAGTGGATTAGGGTTGAGAGCCGAGCTCTAATACCATGTGAAAGGAATTTAAAAAGGATATATATATATACATCAGTAATTAGCAACAAAATAACCCAACAAAATAACCCTAAGAATCCTAAAGACCAATTTACCCTTTAAACTTCTAACAGACTTGAATGACATTGGCCCGAGCATTTATCACACAATCCAAATAGGCTTACTCGTCAGAATGAAGACAATTGTTCCGTGCATTAAAGTTATGTGCTGATTCAAGAAAATAGAAAGATCCAACCTTTTACAATGAAGATAATATTGTGGGGCTTGGGTCCATAAGAAAGTAGTATTCTGCTTATGCTGATATTTCATTATCATTCTGTCTTGTAATGTTCAGTAGAATTGAAAATATTAAAGCCCTTAGTCCTATAAATTCTGGGGCCAATTTAGCTTCCAGCAGGCAAGTACTTAGAGCTGCTTAATGCAGATTGCAACCACCTTCATTTGCTTGCTTGTTTTGCTGTTTTACATTAGCATTCCCGCTAGTCTTCATCCTCTATGGTGTTGGAGTTGGCGAATACTTCGGGGACTCTTGTTTCTCATATCGGGCACGCCCACATGAGTTTAGGGAAATCGAAGTATGATCCGACGATATGTGACCCCTGCGCATGAAATGCAGGAGTTCGGGGGCAACGCCCGACACAGGGGTCCCGCTGACCGGACAGTGGGCGGGGGTTCCGCTCCCCGGTGAGCGGACGGCGGGAGCTCGGGGGCAGCGCCCCCGAAACAACATCAGGTTTGCTGACCCGTTTATTGTGGGATCAAAGGGATTTGGATAGGCTTGGGTTTTGGGCCCATTTTAAGTCCTATATATATTATATTCGTATGAGAAATCATTATGACGAGTGGTAGTGGTTGTAAAACCTAAATATCATAGTGGAATCCCTTTGCAGGACGTAGCCCTATTCTGGGGTGAACCTGAGTAAACTCGTGTGCCAAATTTTCTATTATCTGTGTAATTGTTCTAATTCGGTTCCGATACAACCCTATCATATGGCTCGTCTAATTAAGGCACACATTTTGCTGCTGCTGCTACTTGTAAATTTGCTCGTGGTAAGCTCAGAGGTCCGGTTTACTCTTGAGTTCTCGAAGACGGAGAAGAAGATTGATCGCCAGGAGATTTTGAATAAGTTAGGCTACAGTGTTTCGAAGTTGGAGTTCAGTAGGAGGAGGATGGGAGCAGAGATACAGAGAGCGTCACCAGGAGGACCAGATCCTCAACATCGCTAGCAATCATTTGTCAATAACTTAATATTTCTGCCTAAAGTTTCTATTAGCACCCAAAGAAGAGAGAAAAACTCTCTTTGCTAAAGAATACCTCGCCTGCTTCTTAATTTCTTTTTGAAGTGCAAAGAAAGTGAGTGCGAGATTATTCACTTAATATTTCACTAATGCAAAAATGAAGTTGGAAGATCTTTGTTATTGTTGATGTTTTCTATCCTCAAGTGTGTGATGATAGTTGCTTTGTGAAATGTAGAACAATGTCAGACGAGTTAAAACATTCGGGACAGTACTTGGCCTTTGGCAAGAAACCCATTAATGCTCGGTCCTGTAATATGCAGTTGGGCAAGAGAATTTTCCGGACATGATCCTTCCAACTAATCTTTTTACTGGTAAAAGTGCAACGGCTTAGTATTTTATGCTGCTCCAAGAAAGAAAATCCTTTGTTAGTTTTCGTAGTCTTCCTGTCAATTAAGTCATATGGTTCTGTTCCTGTCAAATTAGATTCTGCATCATCCTAGTTGCAGCGTATGCATCAGGGCAATTCATCCCAATACAAGTCGAGTGAATCAAATCCAGGGAAGCCATTTCACCTTATTGAATTCCTACAAAGCTAGCGAGTAAATCTAATTTGCCCTCAACAGTAGGGAGCTGTCAATTCATGAATAGAGGATTGGGATTAGGAGAGTAAAGGGTATGACTTGATCTTCTTGCTTGTGGAAAAATACCTAGTAGAAAGCAGAATAATGCCTCAACATTCTTTCTTCATGCCATGACAATTTCATTGCCCAAGCTGCAAAGTAATATCAGCAGATGCACAAATCTTTATATTACGAGGGTTTTAAACATAGAACTGTGTTAAAATCGCATGTTTCCAGGACACTCTTCAGATCCTAGCGAGGTATGTTATGCATAGTCTCTCCTAAGGAACCACTATCTATATGTTGTTCCCATAGAAAGTAGGTCTGAGCTATAGAAATCATCAGTAGAAACCTAGAGATTTCAAATACTCACCCGGAGACTGAAAAAGTAGTCATGAAATTTTCAAGGACCATATGAACTATAAAGGATAAAGTTCATTGTATTACAGTGCATAAATTTTCAATGGCTGAGAGTACTTCTGCAATATACCAGAAATAGTCCTAACAATCTGTGGGAAGAGGATACTGGCAGTATTGGGAGTTTTTCATGCAAAGGAAGAATCGCTCATAAGCAGATGCCATTTTACTCGCTGTAAACAACGAAACTGCACGCTGCTCACAGACCTTGCCTTTGATCCGTAACTTCTTCGTTCCATCTCGCACTACCGACTCCAAGGCTTCAACAAATGACTCCACATTGGGTGAAAATGTGTAACCAAATTCCTCACTAACAACTGCTGTCCCAACAATGCTAGGATAGTTCGGCGTCAAAACCGGCTTTCCACATTTCATTGCTTCGATCAGTGTCAGATCAAGTCCTTGAGGCCTCAATGTGGGGTTTACAAACACATCGAGGGCATTATAGAACTCGGACAGCTCTGAAGGATCCAATGCCCCTAAAACCTTTACGGTGTGGCCCAATTCAGCATATCTTCTTCCCCAAGGACCAGATCCAGCAACAAGCAGAAATACGCCGGGATGGCGCCTTGTGAAGGATGCAAAGGCCTCATAGAGAAGCGGATGTCCCTTGTCGCGGACCAACCGGCCTGCCACTCCCATAACAATGGTTGCATTTTCTGGGACCCCATGCCTCCTCCTGAACCGGGCCCCGGCTACTAGATCATGCGTGAACTTCGTTTCGTCGACCCCATTAAGAATTACATGCACTTTCCTAAGCGGAAGTTGGTAGATCTTGACCAAAACGTCGGCGGCATTGTTGCTTATACATATGTGCTGTGTATAGCTTGGGAAGAACCTTATCTCGTCCAAGAGCCTTGGCATCGCCTCCTGGAGCTCGGTCATGGGCCCTGGCAGAAGGCTGTCGGGGTTGGACAGAAGTTCTTGAAACAACTTCGAGTGCATGATCTCGTACCATATCCCGTGCCAAGTCACAGCCACGTTTGCTACCATTTTTGCACGCCAGTGCGGGAGCGAGACGCTCTCAGTATGAACATAATCAAATGGTCCGTTCGCATTCACTTGATTGAATATCTCGAATGCCAAAGAACAGTTGACTGAACCATGATCGTTGGCCGCAAAATGGACATGGAGACTCCCTTGGTGGATATCATGGTGTAATTTTCTATCAGAAGGGACGGTGAATATGTGGATCTCGTGGCCTCTAGCAGCCAGAGCACGATATAAAGTCTCAGCGTGCCGCTCCATGCCACCGGGGGCAGCGTCAACTGGCCATGTCTTGGAGAAGACGGCAAGCTTAAGCTTCTCGAGAGCTGGTCCAAAACAAAGGTGGTTCCAGGGGAACCTGGCATCTCTAAGGTCTCCATTAAAGCGGGTATGGTCAGTACCGAAGAGTGGCTCCAGACCGCGCCTAAAAGGCACCAAGAAGAGAAACAAGGAGGTGAAGATAAGAGCTAGTGCAGAGTGTCTGAAGCAGAGCAGCTTAGATGACGATGAGTTTTTGTAGGACTGATGCTTCGAGCCCATTCCTAGAATCCAAAAAGAAAGCAATATCTTCTGTCCAGATTGATGAAACGATCTTAACTCGTGATCTATCTGAGACTAACCCTTTTTCGGCCATTGATGCCGGATCTCCTCGAGCTTGCAAAACATTTAAGGAACCGCACATGGTGGCAAGGGGATTTGTCAACTTTTTTATATACTTCGACGTTTGAACCTTCCTAGGATGTATTTTATGATTTATTTATTCCGTAGGGTATGTGAAAGTTTGGATCCTAGAATTTTTTATTGACCATGCATCTTACCAAACGAAGTCAAGACAAAAGCAAAGTGAGGATCCAGGACATCAAAGAAATGGCCAATTAGTTAATCCTTCTTCATACTTTTGCCACAAGAACTTGGTCACATCCCTAGAAAGCTCATAAAAATCTTCAAATAAGGTCATTTCAAATATCAAGATTGACTTTAGTGGATGCTATCGCTAAGGTTTATCTACATTTTGAGAAATGACATGCCCATATTTTCCTTTTTACGGTATCTTACAAAACTCTCCTTAAATTACCACCGTTTTTCTATCTAATCTTAACACGAAGCATGTCACCCTTCGTCTGTATTCTTCCACTGAGCTCGTGAACTTGACCATGGCATTAAATTACCACCGTTTTTCCATCTAATCTTAACACGAAGCATGTCACCCTTTCGTCTGTATTCTTCCACTGAGCTCGTGAACTTGACCATGGCAAGAAGGCCGACGACGTCACTGAAAAATGTAAACCTCGGCTTAGAGGACTTAAACTACGCGTGGAACTTCACTACATCCCCATCTAATCCCTGTATCAATGTTGCATCATTGACATTCAGGAGTTTCTATGATGTGAATAAGCTCCCAAAACCACGGCAAATGAATGAAATCGCAAAGATAATGACTATGCCAGCAATTCAAAGATCCTCAATCAATGAAAGTTGTCTAAATTGAATGGAGCTCAATGTCAATGCCCCTCCATGTGTGAGATCAATAATTATTTAAGATGTTCATATGAAGCCTCCTACTCCTCAAGTACAGCCTGTGCCATCGGCCACAAAAACGAATACAACACCGACAAATGATGCAAAATTTCTGTCTTGCTTCCCAAACAAAATGGGGAGATCAGTCTTTCGTTCCCCAGTTACTGATTGGCAAACTTGATCCCCTTCTCAATAGAAGATTTGAGCTCAGGAATCAGGCTTTCCAACCCTTGCTTCTCAAAGTCAGACATAGGACCCAACTCCAAAACTTCCTCCAGGCCATTCTTTCCAAGTTTCACCTACAAAGAAAACCAAATAGTCAACTCACCGCGCATGCTTTTAATGAAAGTTAGAATGATCAGCTAAAATTGATGTGGTTCCGAAAAGGGAAAGGATATGTGCAAAAATATGAACATAATGTACTTGCACTAGCCTAGCCTAGCCGACTTCAGGGTGCAATACAAAGTATTTTAGTGCTTAAATATGAAGCTCCATCAACATCAAGATTCCATAGACGTATCTCGAATACAGCCCTTATGAGAGTTCAAGGCTACAAATCATTACAACCAACATAGACCAAGTTTCAACACCGAGCCTTTTGCATTTAGTCATGTTAAGATAATATCTGAACTTGTTTTTTCGAATACAAACAGGCTTGACTTCCTACTTTGCATAGCGAGATAGAGATGACAAACCAGACCATCCCAAGCCCCTAATCATATTCTAAATAAAGCATACAAACCAAATGAAAGACCCCATAGGCATAAAAAGAACTCTTTTAAGAATTTCCAGAGTGAATTAATCACCTTAGAAGCAAAGAAAGGAAGTTCAGTAATGCTAGACTGCACAAAGGAACATTCCACCACATCGGGGACACCATTTAGGCCCTTCAGGCAAGCATCTGCAAATAATGCTCCAGCATACCTGCAAAAGATGCAAATTGAATCCACCAAAATAAATTGTAAGACTGGAGCAAAGTTAAAAAATCAAAATACAGGGATGCAATCTTCTTGATTTTGTCAAATAAATATAAGACCAGGTGGCGGTGGACCCACCAGCCAAAAACATCAGCATCTGTGCAGATGAACATGGAGAGAGAGAGAGAGAGAGAGAGATCCTTCATCTCATAGTTAGAGCTGATGGAACCCCTCATCTATGTTTTTGCAGTAAAATTCTAGTGTAAGCAAAAAAATGACTCAGATATTCAGACAATATATCTCATGGCCTCATTCAACACTTACGCCATGGACAGTGTTGCAGATCCCTTTCCAGCCTTTGCTTCCACAACTTCCGTCCCTCCGTCTTGTGTACGCTTGGTAAGCGCCTTGATATCTTCGTCCGCCAAATTGGCCTTGGGTACGGCCTATAAAGTGAGAAATAGTAATCAAATTACCTATGCATACGCTTAAGGTGTTGCGGACAAATATCTATCTTATATTTCAAAATGAATGAAAAGAAAGGAAAAGCAAGTACCTGAGAAAACAGAGGGAGGATTGTAATGCCCGCATGACCACCAACAACAGGCACATTTACCTCTGCAAAGAATATGGCAAAGAAAAATTGACTGAGCAACTTAAAGAAGATTAATCAATAAGTTTATTTTATTTGAAATAAAGAAAAAAAACCAATAGCACATAGCAACCAAAAATAAGTGTGACTTCTGATAATAAGCTCTACAATCGTACCTCCAACAGGGACTTTAGCCTTCCCAGCATAGAAAGTTTTGGCCCTAACAACATCAAGGGTTGTCACTCCAAAAAGCTTCTTCTCATCATAGGTCCCTGCCTTCTTAAAGACCTCAGCAGCAATTGGCACTGTTGAGTTCACAGGGTTGCTAATCATGTTCACAATTGCCTGATCACATGAACATAGTCTCCAATAAACATATGTTTCAGAGAATTCCCAAGGATACTTAACTACATAGCATATACGACACTGCTTTACAGCATCTTGATAGGTCAAAGGACACTTCAGACACAGAGCATATAACACTACCCGAATTAGGTAAAATACAGGTGATTCTATGATATTGATGACCAAATTAGAATGACCAATGACAAACAAAAGAGAAAAAGATATATAGTCACATATACTTAAATTGTCGTAAAATTTATAGAGGAGATCGGAAAATCATATTGTCAAGACTCTCACTGGTGGAACATAGAATACTCACATGCGGGCAGTACTTTGCGATTGCAGTACACAAGGACTTGACAATGCCAGCATTTATGTTAAAGAGATCATCGCGGGTCATCCCAGGCTTCCTTGGCACACCAGCCGGAATAATGACAACATCCGATCCCTCCAAAGCTTGCCCAAGCTGTTCCTCACCCATATATCCAGCAACCTATGATCATCGAACAAAACAAAATGAGCTGACGTCACCGCATCATATTTCAAAGCCGTATTGAAACGAGGAGCTCAAATGAAGCTATCCTAATAACTCTGTCTGCCTAAAAAGACAGCTATTTCGCAGATATCAGAAGTCCAAGATGGAGAATTAATCATGGATTATCCATCACGCAACAAAATCCAACTAATAGGGGAGATGCTTCACCGAAGTAGCTCATACCATGCGGATGTGAAGCATATAAATATGATTCCTGAACATGAGGGTACTGGTTGAACGTCTTCTAATTCAATAGAAATGGCTATCATCATCATAAGCTAATCAACCAGGCCAGGCAAACGCAGACGAGGCACGGGAACAAATTAGCCAAAAATCGTTTGCTTTGGGGGAAAATCATGCGGTCAAGGGCATATACAGACTAGAAAGAGGTTGCTAATCACGTACAGAACCCCAAACAAACATGTATAGAAAATCCGAGATTCAACCAAAATATAATAAAACTGATCGAGAGAGAGAGAGAGAGAGAGAGAGAGAGAGAGAGAGAGAGGGAGGGAGTGTGTAGAGACCTCAGATCTGGTGTTGACGTGACTGACGTCGGCGGCGACACCGGGAGTGCCGGCGATATCGTAGAGGGAGAGCTGGGAGACGAGAGGGTTGAGCTTCATGAGGAGGGCGAGGGGTTGGCCGATCCCGCCGGCGGCGCCGAGCACGGCCACCTTCCGCTCCGGCACCGACTCCGAGCTGTAGGGGCGGCGGAGGAGGCGCGGCTGCGAAGGGGCGGCGGAGGAGGACCTCGATCGGATCAGCCTCAACATTGAAGTCCTCATCTTTGACGAAGATGGAGAATGGAGAACGGAGAGAGAGAGAGAGAGAGAGGGTTTTAGAAATGGTGGAGCGAGAGAGGTCGAAAAGCAAGGTCGAGGCGGAGGCTTTTAGTTTATATATATGTATATATATATATATATATGGAGCTTTATTGTCGGAAAAAAACAAGTAATTTTCACGTAAAGTGTTTAATTAAAATTGATATTTATCACGTTAAGGTGCTGCATGAAAACAATTCTGGTTCTGTCCAGAACTGATTTTTTGTTCCCAGAATCAGTTTTGGACCAGAAACCCGTTTGGTGAACGCAATTTCATTTTTCTATTTAGACAAGTTTGCTTCCAAAATCGATTTCAAACCGAAATGAGAACCAAAAAAGTTGGTTTTTCATTTCGAACAAAAGTGAGAACCATTTCTGAGGAATTCATTTTCTTCAACACACATATTCATATGGAAGTCACGATCTTTGAGGTGAGAAAAAAAAAGCAAAAAATCAAAAATTTCAAAACTTAACAAAATGGTTTAGAATCATGTATGCTACCCACTTTCAGTGAAATTTAAATTTTTTTAGGTACCGAAAAAAATAAATAAAAATAAAAAAATTTCAAAATTTCACAAAATGACTTAGAAAACCTATGGCCACCCACTTTGAGCAAAATTTAATTTTTTTAGTTGCCAAAAAAAAATAAAAAATTCTAAAATTTAAAAACTTCACAGAATATCTTAGAATACATGTGGCCACCCAATTTGAGCGAAATTTTATTTTTTTAGGTGCCGAAAAAAATAAAAAAAAAGCAAAAAATCAAAAATTTCAAAACTTCACAGAATGGCTTAGAATACTTGTGGCCATCCACTTTGAGTGAAATTTAAATTTTTTTAGGTGCCGAAAAAAATAAAAAAAATAAAAAATTTCAAAACTTCACAGAATAGCTTAAAATACCTGTGGCCACCCACTTTGAGTGAAATTTAAATTTTTTTATATGCCAAAAAAAATAAAAATAAGCAAAAAAGTAAAAATTTCAAAACTTTACAGAATGGTTTAAAATACCTGTGGCCACCCATTTTGAGCGAAATTTTATTTTTTTAGGTGCCGAAAAAAATAAAAATAAAAAGAAAAAATTTCAAAACTTCACAAAATGGCTTAGAATACCTGTGGCCATCCACTTTAAGCGAAATTTAAATTTTTTTAGGTGCCGAAATAAATAAAAAAATAAAAAATAAAAAACTTCACATAATTGCTTAGAATACCTGTGGCCACCCACTTTGAGTGAAATTTAATTTTTTTTAGGTGTTGAAAAAAAATAAAAATAAGCAAAAAAGAAAAATTTTCAAAACTTCAGAAAGTGGCTTAGAATACATGTGGCCATCCACTTTGAGTGAAATTTAATTTTCTTTAGGAACCAAAAAAAATAAATAAAAAATAAAAAATACCATTTGGGCATCTAAAAAAAATTAAATTTTACTCAAAGTGGGTGGCTAGAGGTATTGTAAGTCATTCAGTGAAGTTTTGAAATTTTTGATTTTTTATGTTTTTTTCACCTAAAAAAATTTAAATTTTACTCAAAGTGGATGGCCACATGTATTCTAAGTCATTATGTGAAGTTTTGAAATTTTTGATTTTTTACTTTTTTTTCACCTTCAAAAATTAAAATTTCACTCAAAGTAGGTGGCCACAGGTATTCTAAGCCATTCTGTAAAGTTTTGAAATTTTTGAGTTTTGAATTTTTTTGGGCACCTTAAAAAATTTAAATTTCACTCAAAGTGGGTGGCCACATATATTCTAAACTATTCTGTGAAGTTTTGAAATTTTTGATTTTTTGATTTTTTTTGGGCACCTAAAAAAATTTAAATTTCACTAAAAGTGGGTGGCCACAGTATTCTAAGCAATTCCGTGAAGTTTTGAAATTTTTGATTTCTTGATTTTTTTTGAAAAAATTCAACAAATTTCCTATTTTCCCGAAATCTAAATTTTTTTTATTTTCTCGACATTTTGATGATTTTTTCTAGAATTTTTCAATTTTTTGGGATTTTCTGAATTTTTTTTAAGATTTTTATGAATTTTTCGGATTTTTTATTATTTTTATTCCATTTCTAAAAAAATGGATTTTTGTTCCTGAAAATAGAATTTTCTGTTGTTTATCAAACGGGTTTTTATTTCAGGAAATAGAAATTTTGTGCTGTTATCAAACGGATTTCTGTTCTAGAAATAGAAATTTTTTGTCATTATCAAACGGATTTTTTTTCTCAGAAACTCATCCAGGAACCAGAAATAGAAAAATCTATTTCTGGTTCAGGAACTCATTCCGGAACAGAATGGTTATCATTCGCTACCTAATTGACGAAAAGCTCACGTGGGACACCAAAAAAAATACAATTTTCGATCGCGATTTTTGCCTTGGCTGACTCTCATGAACACATTATTATTTGAGGAATCGAAAATGAAAAACAAAAAATTGAATTTTGCTTGTGACGAGGAAAAGTGAACGTGCCCAAATCACCTTTTATAATTTTTTTTACTCTAATTCGTTCCGCCTTGCCACCCGAAAATTTAATCAGTTTAGGCAAATATGATCCGACTTGTTGAGAAGAACCGCTCCTTTGAATGATATTTGACATTACATTACTAAATAGCATTTCCCTTCTCTCTTAAGTTTTTAATTCGTATGTCCTATTCTTTGCTCTTTGGTCTTATGTGAAGGTAATTAACTTCGTTATCTTGTCCAAGTAGCGCTTCTGATCATGGGCTTTTTCACATTAAGCAATGCTCAAATTGCGGAAGTCGCAATTTTTTTTATAAAAAAAAAAGAGTTGAAAAGAAAAACAAAAAGCAGAAGTTAATCGAAATATTTAAAGATTACACAAATTAATAAAATTCAGAAGAATGGAGGTAGGGAAAAAACAATACACTGTTCTCTTTACCAGTAGAAAAGGTCCAATTTAAAAGGACAAAATGAAAATGATGGGTTGCTAGTCTGAGGAGAGCAGGTCCAAAATGGCATTGGCTTTCGACTTGGGCGCGCATGACAAGTCGCCGCCCGCAATTGCCTTGGTGTTTTTTTTTTTTTTTTGTTCTAAACAATTGCTTTCAAAAGGGAGCTCATTCATGTGTGCAAGCCCCGTGGCCGAGGCGTAAAAGTAAAGACTTAATTCCTTTAAATAAAAAACCCAACTTAAGGTTTAATCCTGATTTCGTTCCGAGTATTTTTTTCCAAATTCGCTAACTTTCACTAGTACCAAATCAGCCACGCATCCAAAGATTGCTACTAATTCCTTCAAAATTATTAACATTAGAGCCAATTAGAAATTCATTATATCAATAATAACCTCCTGATGTTGATGATCTTGAAGAAATTAATAGGATTTCTGGACGTGTGCATGGATTATTTTAGTAAATTAGCCCAAAATTAAATAGCTGTCGGCAATTGTCAATTGTCTCCCATTTTGAGAGGATTGAGAGGATCCCAAGTAACCCGAGTCCTCGGCCCCAACTTGCTCCGCTAACAAGAGAAACTCAAAACGTTCCAAAACCAAATGAGTTGGCGACAAAACTGTCCGTTGCCTCTGCTCAGGGCCTTGACAGACAGCAACAATCGATGCAAGTACAACCGCCATAGTCCGTTTTGGGCTACCAGCCAATTTCTGCCCGCCACCAAACAAAATCCAAGAATATTGAACTCGCTCAACGGAGGATATTCCAATCTTACAACGACTATTGTAATCATCGTGCATGGCAATACGGAAATTATTAAACTTATGTCGATGGCCATGAATGAGCGCTCTTTCCCTTCATTTCTTAGGTTTCTCAACAAACCCGGGAACAGTGAGAATGTAAAAAAGATTAGAGTGAACTCTTTTCCGAGCATTGCTGATAAAACCCATTGCCAATAGATAACGAGTTGGTCATTCATTCCAAGGGAAATCGCGCTCTGCATGTAAGGAGATATCCGATTGCCAAGCCCATCATGTAAGTCACATAAAACGACACGCCTTCACAATAGTCATTATGCACAAGCGGATACATCGCTCGGCAATACATTTCAAAATTTCCCTAGACAAATGTCTCCAGAGATGCGATAAAATTCGAAAGCTTTCCTCGACAAATTTCTCTCTCTCTCTCTCTCTCTCTCTCTCTCATGTAATCATGTAGCATCAGCCTCCTGCTACAAATCCTGCCACATCATGCCCTCCAGAAAAGGATAAAGGCACAAACCAAAACCCAAAAATTTGTCACAAGCCAAAACTGTTAGCAAATTAATGTAGCAATGGACATTCGATAACCCAGTCCCTCGTGTTGCAATACCACTACTTGGTAAACATGCTACAAAAGAATCAAAATTTCTTACGCAAACTGTAGAAGGAAATGGCAAGATCATGACAGTTAAACGGAATTATTCAGCACTAGGGATTTGCCCTATACCCTTGGCAAAGGTAGTTCCTTCAAATTAAGTCAATAACTAAACGCACTTCCCTCAATATATCTATCCTTTGGAAATCAAGGACTCTAGAACATCCTATCCTAGCAGTTAAAAATATAAGGGAAGATTCGCGGACAAATGGATTATCCAAACCCAATGACAAGGACCTAAGTTTAATTGACTCTTTTTATGTGAAGCACCTAGGCCGAGGTGCTGCAGGACACGAAATAAGTGCCGGATACTAGCACCCTTGCAAAAGAAATGCTGAAAGGACACACAACGGTTTGGTAAGCAGGATTGCTCAGACAATGGAAACTGCCTATCAGGATCCAAAGTTAAGGTAGTCTCAAGTAAAGATAAAAAATAAACTGGATGAATTCAAACAAATGCACAGAATAACCTACCTAATACAAGACACAGAACGACCTAGTTAGTACAAAAGATAACAGACGAGAAAGCAGCCCCAATCTAGCAGGAAGCTAGAATCATCATGAATGTGTGGTTGTCAACCCCACATCCATATTCAGATAATAAAGCAATAGCAGTGGATGTCACCTTTAAGTGTTAAGAGACTAAATCCCTTAACTTTAAGTGCCATGCTGAACGTTGGCCATAGAAGGATTACAACTCACACTAATTGACAAGGGAGAATCCTAAGTTACAATGTGAGCCAGAGTCAGCAAGTAATAACTGCAAGGTACCAGAATCACAAGGTAGGCTTGACCACAATATCTTTTACCAGCAGCAGTCTAGAGCAAATCAATAATCAATGCACGCATCCAACAACTAGGCATTCTCATAGTTTCACCAAAAATCACACTTGCAAAACTGTACCGGGGAGCATTGAGAAGAACATCATACAAGAGGTTCATGGATACACCGTCCGCAAGTCCAAGTACAACAGTACTCATAGACTATGACTGGCCTGGCCAAATGCATTAAACAGCAAGATTAAGGTGCATCTTTTATACTCAGATGTTGCTGATCTCCCATTCACACCAATTTTGGACCCGAAAGTTTTAAGCTTTTTTTTTTGGTCATTTTCTTCTCTCTCTCCTTTTGTGTGTGTGTGTGTTTTCGTCTTTTTGGGCAGGGTCAAACTAAATTTTTAAGCGTATACAAAAATTATTCACACTTTTGCTTCAAAAACATATATAAATTGGTGGTCCCCCTCCCCTCAGTCCCTGAATGCTCGACATAGGCAGGCGATGCTTCCAAGCATGCAAAATATTATTTAGAAAAATATATAAGGGCCATGAAGACATATAAATGATCACTTGATCTAAAATACCACAAAGTAATGTGAGACCTCCATCAATCAGACTCCAACTTAAGATGGTAGATAGAGGGATCCATGATGGCTTTCTATCCACATGCAATAGTAATGATTGGCTAACATAGTCACTATGCCCAACAGTGATAGAAGCAAAATATCTTATCGCAAATATGCAAAATCACTGTAAAGCACCAAAAAGAGGCAGCCAATACAAGGGTGCCATAACAGTTGTCAAAAGGTTCAGAACTAGCGTTGGAAAGGCAAATAGATGCTATAAGCACCAGAAACAACCCTCCACGCTGCAAGATCCCAAAGCACAAGTACCAACTTCACTAAGTAAACTAACCATAATTAAAATTAACTTCAACCAGGACAACCACAATAATCCACAGCATAAAGGAGCAGATGAAGCAAGCGGCTGCTAAAGCACAGGTAATCACTCATCAACCAGAGAATATATTGTCCTCATTTACGCAATCACCAGAATGATTAAAGCATCTGCGTCCAACAAGCTCTCATACACCTGAATCAAACATCCAGTCACATGTCACATCATTCAACAGAATCAAACACAAATTTCTTCAAGCAAACACATAAAGCTAAGGCAAAAATTCATCAATGTCAATGCCAACAGTAAAAGATATAATGGTGAGGCAGTCGTCCCAAAAATAGTTTACAAAGAGAAGAAGATTGGTATTCCCTGACATAAAATTCAGGTAAAGTGATATCTAAATTTTCTGCTGTGAAAATGAAACAAGCTGATTAACTAAAGAGAACAGATGCTAGCAAACACAAGTGTTAGAATAGAACCAAACATACAACGACGACAATGACGCCACCAACGCAAGTGATCAAACCTCATCCCCTTATCCTGCTAATTGGGATTATAAATCTTTTATGCCATTGTACTCTATTCTATTAGATATCGAGTGTTTTGTAAGATCAAAGTACTCCAGATCTTTCCGAAATTCTTCTAAAACAGACATTGTTAACACAATAACCATTGCAAATTCAAGCATGAAGCAATTCAAATATGCTTATAAAGGTTAAATGTTCTATTTTTAAAAATTTCAAAAGAAAGCAAGGGTAAAAACAACAAACTACCAACAAGTATGCATCCACTTAACCCATCTAAGTAAACAAACAAAGACAGCCGGCATGAAAATAAAAAGGGACCCACAAAGAGAAGCAATTACTTACTCTGGACATGCAAAGCACATCTGCTTATTGAAATGCTCACGACAAAACACAAAAGTATAAAACACCAAATATTTTCTCTAGAGCCATACCCTTGACAGCAAACTTTCTAATTTGACAGCTTCATCATAGATTGAGAAATTTTATTTTTTTAATTCAGAACACTATAATGCTAATGCTTATCATTTGACTTCATCTAATGTATTAAAGCCCATAAGTCCAGTCAAACTTGAAAAGAAACATAGTCAATAAAGCAAAAGCCTACTAAAGCAATAGCAAGAAAGATCTGTACAAGAGGCAGAAGGAGCATCACTTGCATGAGTTGAATAAGGCTGACTATATCGGACAAAATAAAATATGGCTAAGGACAAGTCCTCTGTCGTAAATGAGCATTCACATCACATAACCAAATTGAAATAGACCCAGAACTCATATTTTTCTCTCTTTTTATTTTCTTTCTATGTGTGAAGAATCAATTGATGTATCCACCTCCACTGTGGATGTTGGTTTAGTTGCCAGGCTTGCTTCTTTGGACCAAGAATTGGTCAAGGTTTTTCCATAGGCCAAGCTGTAGATGGTATTAAGACAGCCAGAAGTGGAAGCCAGAGGGTAAATACAACATGGTGCTTTCCGTTGTGAATAGCTTTACGTAATCTTATTATAAAACTTTTTTTTCCTCATTTTTTGGGGCTTGCTCCTTGGTTTTTAGAACTATATCAAAGTCTCATTCCTACAATTAGGACAAAAACCCCTGGGAAGGACGACTCTGAGGATGAGGTATTGCAATACTGACTGGATTTCTGCCTTCTATTGTTAACTTAAATATAAAGAGCATCAATAAAAGATTGAAGCGCCTTAATAAAAGATTACAGCACTTTAACGTCATCCTTTGATCCAACCAAACGACGCCTTTAGAGCTAGCACAAAGCAAAGCATATCCAGCCCCCAAACATGCAGAAAGCTGAAACAGTTTGGAAAAGCATCCTTGTATCATGTAAATCTTTATCATTAGCAAGATCCCAACTTGCAAAGAATAACCTTTGACAACATACACATTTACGATGTAATGACACTACTTTGTAATGTCAATGAACAAATTAATAGTTTTGCTAGGTTGTCTAGCTAGGCAATAAGGTGTTGAACTCAGATTCAAAACCAAAAATCATCTACTTATAGCTGTAATGGCAGATAATAAAACAAGCAAAGCAAACTAAACTTCCTTAGCCACAAGAATTCATACAGTGGCTGCAAGTCAAGCCATCCTAACTATCAGGCCAAATCCAGTCAAACAACCCCTCCATGATATACAACCACACAGAGTAATTTGTCATCTACCAAGATAACAGACTGAGAAATGATAGCCTAATCATCCAGGCACTTGTGTAGAACTCAAATACTGTAATAATGTTAAAAAATTGAAATTGTCATGGACCTCATTAACCAATTGACAACAAGAAATGCTACCGAAAGACAACCACAAAAAAAAAAATCAATAAATTTAGCACCCAGCAACCAAAACTCATCCAACCATGAGCTACAACCACAAGCAAAAACTGCCACAAGCATCTAAATGCAGATTGAGACATGATAATCGAACATATCAGAAAAATGCAGCAGAAGTGAAACATCATGGAAACGGAATAAAAGAATAATCAGCATGGACAGCATGAACCAACCAACAATATTTAATGCAACTCAAGACAACCAAATCAAAAAATTGATCACTTTAACATCCTTTATTGACATTCCTGATAAAGGCATCCCAAAAAAAAAAAGCTTAAGCACATGCAATTCACAGATAGAGCAGTATTGGATATATATAATCGACAGGGCACACGCACAAAGGAAAATAATGTAGGAGGTGGAAAAGAACAACCAAGTGAATCACGTTGCTAAGAAAAAACCATTTCATGCCATCGTTGAGAGCACTAGCATAAGAGCTCATCACAAAGTGTCCATCCACAAACAAATTTAAAAAAAAAAATAACAAGCTCCCCAGCAAATAAGGAAGTCAAGCAATCATATCTAACCAGGTATAAGATAACATACCAATCTGGAAAAGGAAAATAGACAACTAGAACCATCAATACTCGTAAATGAAATTACCTCAGTAATAGGAGGGCACATTCGGATACATTCCTCCTGGTGGAACCCTCGGCGCTGGAGAAGTCCCTGTTGGTTGATGCTGCTGGCTCGGGTATGCCGACGCAGATGATAAGCCATATTGTCCACTTTCTGGATACCCTCCGGAAGGCCTGTACAAAGATGAGCCACCAGCGGTACCTAATCCACCGCTTGTACCGCCTACACCACCACCTGCACCACCAAGACCAGTCCCAACACCACCTAAAGCACCGCCCGCACCGCCGTATCCAGTTGCTCCTGGTCCCCCATAACCACCATATGGAGCAACCATCCCACCGCCGTATCCGCCAGTACCAGCTAAACTGGGATGAACCTGACTGCCCACCGCCGACATCCCAGGCCCGCCCGAACTCAAGTGTACCAATCCGGGCGGACCCTGAAACCCACCGTAGGACCCCATTCCCCCGGGTCCACCATATTGCCCAGGAACCGACCCTGGGCCACTCATCCCCACTGCATCAGCGTGGCCATTACCAGGTCCAACATTACCAGCTGGACCCGGCTTCCTCTTCCCATCAATTGCAAGCTTGCAACTTAATTGCCTCCCGTCAATGGTCTTCACTGGCTCGGCCAAAGCCGCCTGAGCTCCCTCGGCTGTCTTATAAACAAACAGAGCAAACCCTCTCGATTTCCCAGTCTGCTTATCGAACCCCAGCGGGCCTTCCTCGATTTCACCGTACATCAGGAAGTGAGATAACAGCTTATCCGCGGGCATGTCCATCGGCACGTTCGCCACGTAGATCTTCCGGTCCGACACATCGGCCGAATTGCCCGTGCTCGAGCCCGAATTGCCAGCCGCCGCGAGCTGCGTGACCGTGACGCGCCCGTCGATCCTCTTGCTCGGCTCGCGCAGGGCGGCCAGAGCGCCGTCCACGTGCTTGAAAGTGACGAAGCCGTAGCCCTTGCTCTTCCCCGTGACCTTGTCGAGGATGACGACGGCCTCCTCGAGCTCGCCGTAGGTGGAGAAGAGCGCCCGGAGGCTGTCGTTGGTGGTGTCCCAGCCGAGACCACGGATGAAGAGCTTGCGGCGGGTGGCGTCGCCGTCGGCGAGGGAGCGGGCGGCGGAGAGGACGTCGGGGTGGCGGAGCAGGGCCGCCTGGAGGAGGTCGAGGAGCTGGTCCTGGGAGAAGCTCTCGAGCATCCGGCGGCCCTCGCCGCGGGTGAGGGCGGGGCCGGGATCGGAGGGGGCCGACGGCGCGACGCCGTTGCCGTCCATCTTCCGCTTCTTCGCGAGATCCATTGCAGTGATCAACTGCTAGAAAGATGAGGAGGTAGAGAGAGAGAGAGAGATGCTCGCAGCACAAGTTTTTGCCGTATTGGGTGGATGTTAACGAACCCTTGCATCGCATACCGTGAATTACATTTCGCCCCCGAATTTTGGCAATTATTGTAAATTGCCCCCTGACTATTCAATTTATGCATTATCGCCCCCCTACCCCCGGAATCTTTAAAGTCGGTTGTAACGTCCCTTTAGCGTTGATTCCGGCCTTTTTTCGATCGCAGCTCCGGCCATGTGCTTGTCACTTGGCTATTTAGCTCCTTCTACAGAGAATAGATATACGCCGCAATAAGAGTGAATTGTATTTCACCCTGAGTTCTGGCGCGTGTTATAACTTGAAATCTTAAAGACTGGAATCACATATCTATATAAACCAAACTTTTCGTGAATTTATTAGCTCTTGAATTTTATCTTTTCAAATTTACTACCTCATCCAATTTGACTTTCTTTAATATAAAATACTCGAAAATTTTTCGAAATGCATAAATCCATTGTTATTTTCTAAAGTTCAACATTTCGACGGGAGAACGATGAAAAAAAAAAAAGCTTTTCCGCTGTCCGAACCAGTTGAACTTGGAATTTGGTGAATATAAATTCAAGCCCGACTAAGGACGTCTCATTCGTAAAATCCTTTCCCTTTGTGCACGCACATGAACAGCAGGAAGCGCACTCAGTCGCACATACAGCCTATCAAACCATCGCATCATGAACTGAAATTCATGGTCATGGTCACAGACTCGCATGGCAAGAATCTGCAACCAGCGCGAGGCTGCCAGAAATGATCACACTTCGATCGTACGCCGTGACTTCAAAAGCTCAAGAGTCGATCGGCAAATGGATTTAGTACTAGAAATGATGTTGGAAAAATGATGGGTTTTAGGATATTCGATTTTTACTCGAATAATACGTTGTTGAGGAGGATCGAGCTCAACTTACATCAGGGGCCACGAAGGAGCTGACTCTGGTAGCCGCACCATCAATTCAATTATAAAAGACACACCAATGGTCTTTGAAAACCGCAACTAGATCAAAGAGAGGGACTTTCACAGACGCTCTTTCGCTTGATGCTCCAATCACCACTTCCGTTATCATCATCAGGAGGACCTCTCGCTGTTAAATAAATCCATGGACTGTCTCGCCATTTTATCGTCAGATGTGCCCAGTGAAGACCAAACATGCTTGTTGATTTTCATCTTGTGTTATGCTAGATGTACCCCACAACTCCTGAAGACTACATTGGCGGGCGCACTGTGGACTCTGACCGAAAACTCGAAGCGCACCGAATCCTGCAGCCGATTCTTGACCATCCGATCAGGCCGAAGCAAAGCTTGTGAACCATAAAAGAGACACAAGTGATCCGAGTCAATCCCCCATATGTAGTCTCTGTCAGCCATAATGTATCCACCATCGACAGTGAGAGAGAAATCATAGTCTATGACACCATCCACCATTCCGCGTTCTTGGGTGGGACTTTGCTCCAATCCGAAGAGGATACAAAGCGTGACGGACTTGCAATTCAAGAACCTATCCAACGGCACTTGGAAACATATCGAACCCCCCTCACTTTGATGGCTAAACCACTCGGGAATTTCACTTCCAGGAAAATATATGGTAACTGAGGTCGTCCTCAAGTCCTGCAACCCAAATTCTAATCTATAAATGCCCCATTCTCACTTCGTGTGTGCATGAGAGAGAGAGAGAGAGAGAGAGAGAGTACCTCAGCTGATGGTCCATCAGCAAACCAAGTCAAGTTATGGCAATTAGAGAAGTCGACGTATTCAAGGAGTGGTAATTGCTTCATGTCATATACAGATACCATTGACCGCCCCAAAAACATTCTCAGAGACTTGCATCCACTTACAATCAGCTCCTTGATGTTTGGTGGCAACTGCGAAATTTCTTGAAGTTGTTCACAATTCGTTAAATCAAGCCAGTCCAAGTAAAGGAGTCTACCAATGCTTGCAGGAAGGCTAACAAAAGGATTCCCAGAAAGTTCTAAGCTTCTCAATGTATTGAAGCTTTGTCGAGCCAATAGGTTATCTACATCTCTTAGATTGCAATTGCTGAGACGAAGGTACTTGATAGTTGCAGACCTCGATGAAGAGCAGCAACTAGGCAAACATATTGAGTCTACATCTCTGCCGAGCTCAGGAATTTTGCCAAGTTTTGAGCAACCACCCAGAGAAAGATCTTGAAGGTTATGTAACTTATACATGGTTGGTGGAAGACAGGTAAGGTTTTTGGATCCAGTCAAGTATACGGATCGAAGATTGACCAGACGTTCAATAGATGAAGGCAGCTCCTCTATACCGGAGTCTTGTAGGTAAAGACAATCCAGACGTGTCATGTATTCACCGACATCAGGAAATGTTTTGAGCTTGGTACTCCCATTTAGGGTAAAATTTTGAAGAGATTTTAATTCGATGGTGGCAGGAAAACTGCTGAGGTTAGGGCAATCATCTAGGAACAAATCGACGAGCTTAGGAAGAAATCCAACCGACTCATGAACTTTAATTAGGGCAGTACAGCCATCAAGAATCAAACTTTCAAGATTTTTTATAGTTGAAAAATCAGGGATTTCAATTAATTGCTCACATCCTTCAAAGTTTATGGATGTCATATTCTTGAAATTCTGCCAAAAATGGAGAAAAGTTAGCGAGTGAGTGACATTGCTTGATTGATAGGAAAAGGAAAAGAAAAATTACGTAAAAGCAAAGGCTAATTGTACCTGGAATCCCGCTCCCAACCTTTCGATGTTGCTGCCCCTCAGATTAATTTTCCTAAGTTTCTTCGGGCCAAAATTAAATTCAAGTGATGGAATAGAACATCCAGCCAACTCAATCCACCTTAGCCCGGAAGGAAGTCGGAGAGGAGCACCAGAAAAATGTGCACCACGCATTACAAGCAGCCTAAGACTCGTCATATTTGTGAAGGCCTTGTCACCCAAGTGCACCTCTTCAGGTTCAGGTAGATCTATAACTATGCCTTCAACTGCATTTGTCCCCTGAAAAGCAAAGTTAAATTCACTGAATCATTGAACTTTTGACACCCAGACTGAAAAGAAAATCACTTTTTAAGTGACATGGCATCTCCTAAACCTAAGAATTAAAGTGGAACCATCGATTTCCCAAGAAAATACATGGTTTACGTTATGGCGTAAATAGGAACCCACCAAACTGTTACTCAGAAGATAGAGCACATCATCAGTTGACCACAACCTACTGCGTCGTCCAAGCTCCCCTTCAGACTTTCGGCAAACAATTTCCCGTCCTATCTGCTGAAGCAAATCGTGCATCTGTATCACACCATACTCAATGCTTACAAGAGACCTCTCTCTGAGACGCTGTATCACAATCAACAAATCGAAGTCGCACGCATCTAAAATTTCCATGATGAAGTATTCACTCATCCCCCTTAAGAAACAAGCAATGTCAAGGAAAATGGACTTCTCCTGTTCATCTAATCCATCAAAACTAATTTTGAGTACGTTGTAGATATCTTCATGGGGAATTCTTTCCAATTTATCCAGGGTGCTCTCCCATTCAGATATGCTTCTACCTCGCAAAAAGGAACCTAATACTATGAGGGCCAATGGAAGTCCCCTAGCATAATTTATGAACTCATTCGAAAGGTTCTCATAACCAATTCGAGGACGGATTTCCATAAAAGCATTCCAACAGAAGAGCTGAAGAGCATCCTGATCATGTAAACAATTGATTTTATGTGTCCAAGGAACATTGTGAGCTACTAATAAATGCTCATCTCTGGTTGTGATAATGATTCTACTTCCTGGACCGAACCAGTTGGGTCCACCTGCTAGTTTTCTCAGTTGTTCCAAGTGATCCACATCATCAACTATAACAAGAACCTTTTTCCGGCTAAGCCTACCCCTTATAGTGTGAATTCCTTGATCAACATGGTCAATCTTCAAGTTGACATCCATCAATGTTCCATGAAGAAGAGCTTCTTGTAATCTAGTTAGACCCCCCAGCTTGGAATTCTCTCGAACATTGGCGAGGAAGCAACTGCCCTCAAATTGATCAGCAATAAGGTTATATACGGCTTTAGCAACAGTCGTCTTACCTACTCCACCTATCCCATAGAGCCCCACGACACGGTTCCGCTCTAACTTTGAAATAATCAGATCGACATGAGGTTGCAACCTAACTGGAAAGTCAGCAACATGCAGAGATTTGGGATGCAGCTTGCCCAATACATCTTTGACGAGTGACTGAATGAATGTCGACTCATACCTGCCAAAGGCCCAAAGCCATCTAGATGAGTTGAATTTTTAAAAGGACTATATCATCCTACTACAGCAGATGATTGTCTGCCATTTCAGTGCCGCTCGGTTATCTGTCGAAAATCTTTCGGTGGTTGGAACGGACACATATAGTAGTTTGAGCATACTTCTTACCGAGACAAGCGTGTTCAGAAAGTAAAGTAAACTGTAAAAACGGGAACAATAAAGTAAAGATGGGAAGCAGGAACGCAAAAAATGTGGATAATCATGGCAGAATTTTAAAAGGCGGGATTGAGATTACTCGTTCTTCTTCAATGTCCACCCGGAAAGCTTAGCGACGCTCTTCATCGCCTCCCTCCATTTCATGACCGGGTCGGCGTTCTCGCCGAATCTGAGCACCTGCTTCTCAAACGCCGTGCCGAAGGCGCCTATCTGGTGCCTCACTTGCGAAGGCTGCACGAGGTAGAACACCGGCCAAATCACTTGCTTCTCCTCGTCACGATCGTGACACTCGATGATCTTTGCAAGCTCGTTCAAGCACCAGGCGGAACCGGCATAGTTCTCCGAGAGCACGACGATGGAGATCCTGGACTCCTCGATCGCTCGCTTGAGAGCGGGCGAGATCTCGTCCCCCTTCCTGAGGCCGTCGTCGTCGAAGAAGACGTCGACTCCGTTCCGGCGCAGGGCGCAGAGGAGGTGGCCGGTGAAAGTGTAGCGCGTGTCTTCGCCCCGGAAGCTGAGGAAGACGTCGTGGCTGTAGCGCTCAGGGGTTGAACAACAGTGTCCAGTGAAACCGAGACGACTCATGGCGATTATAGGTGTTCCAGGTTGCTCTGCGCAGTGGACTGTGTTGAAGCTCGGTGAACGATGATGATGTTCCACTCTCATATAAACCGAGCAAGGAAGTGGAGAATGAGAGAGAGAGAGAGAGAGAGAGAGAGAGAGAGAGGAGGGTGAGGTGAGAGGAAGAGACGAGGGTCTTTCATAAAAAGGACATCAGATTCGCCCCTTTTGACGAAGACTTAGCAGAGGAGAGAAGCATGCAGTAGTCCCGCAAAGAGAGGGAAAGAAAGCAGAAAATATTCCGCGGTTAGAGACTACCGCGTAAGCAGGTGGCAAGCAGGTGTAAGTCCAATTACAAATTGACACACGATCTCAAATAAAAAAAAAATTTCAAAATTTGAACTTTTCTCCCTCTTCGTCCTCCGTCCACGGCCACGGCCATCTCCACCTTCTCCACCCACCGCCCAAGCCGCATATCTTCGACACCCACCCCTGGCGTGGCCTGCCGCAGTGAGTTCCTCTTGCGAAATTCAAATTAGCATTAGTATAAATATTACGAACAATACATAATTGTAAAGAAATGAAATTACAATAACAGAATTGGAATCGATACAAATGGATACCGAAGCCTGTGTTCGACACAGTTTCCTTAAAACATCTGGCGAGGCTCGACCTCGCCGTTGCGACCCAGGCGTCGGCGAGGTCGGCCTCATCGCTACTGGGCGAGGCGAGGCCGACCTTGTTGACGCAGGTCGCGACGGCGAGGTCGGCCTCGCCGCTGCTGGGCCTCGCCTCGCCCGGTGGCGACGAGGCCGACCTCGCCGTCACCGGGTCGCGACGGCGAGGTCAAGCCTCGCCGGATCGGCGAGGCTTGACCTCGCCGTCGCAACCCGGGCGTCGGCGAGGTCGGTCTCGCCTCTGCTGGGCCTCGCCTCGCCCAATAGCGGCAAGGTTGACCTCGCCATCGCGAACCAGGCTGGGCGAGGTCAGCCTCGCCTCTGCTGGGCGAGGTCGACCTCGCTGGCCCTCCCTTCTGGCCGGCCACCGATCGCCGGACCGGTCAGAGGAAGAAATCAGAAAAAAAAAGATTAAAAAAATAATAAAAATTACCACGTCGGCGTTGGCTGACTGGCGGCCACGTCGTCACGGGGCCAAAATTGGCGGAATGATCGAATTGGCAAGAATTAAAAAGGTTTAGGACTGAATTGGCAAACTTAAAAGGTTTAGGACTGAATTGATCGCCGTACAATAGGTTTAGGACTTTTTTGACAATTTTCCCGTTTGTGCCGATAAATAAAATGTGCATATTGTATTGTGTCTTTGTAATGTTTGGGTTTTTCTCTGCATCTAATCTCCTTTGTGTCTTACCATGTATTGCAAGCCCTAAGAAGTAACTTTTTGAAAATTATGTTCAAATTTTGGTTGATTACAATGACAACTTTGAAAGTTTGGTGCAGATTCGGAGGCGATAAATAAAACGAAATACAGAATGTGGTTATTTGATTGATTAAAGTGTGGTTTAGATCATGAGCATTTAGTAAAAGTGTAGGTCTTTATGGAAATAGGCCATAGCCAATATTAGGAAAGACATTACAATCGATTTCAAGACTTTACAAGAAAATTTAAAAAATTAAAAGTTAGGGAGCAACTTACGACACACGCAAAAACTCAAGGGGTAAAATACAATTCACTTTTATTGTTGCATAAATCTATTCTATGTAAAAGGAGCTTAATAGTCATGTGACAAGCACATGATCGAAGCTGTGATTGAAAAATGGCTTACGAGGGACGTTACAACTGGCTTTAAGTTTTCAGGGTCATATTGCATAAATTGAAAAGTCAGTTGGGCATTTTATGATAATTGACAAAATTTGGAGGCAAAAATGTAATTCACGGTATGCGATGCAAGGGTTTCCCAACAAGGCTTCTTGAAACTTGTTAGTATCCTACATGTGTGATTTGCAAACCTTTACCATCACTAATGGCAACTTCTTCTAGACCATCGTACTCAGAATGCAACTAAGAGATTGCTCAGATCAGCGGTAACATGATCAGAGGCTCTGGAATTGATGACCCAATTCTTGTTGATGGGAGCGATGGAGGCTGGATAGTAAACTTTAGGATCTCCATGGGTACAATTTAGCCATCAAAGTTGACTGACAAAAAAAAGTGCGTGGGTAGCGAATGTGGATGCATCTTTGATTCGAGACACCGCCATGATGAGAGGCCGATTAATTTGAGTGGTGAATTTGTTGTTGTGAGGTGATTGCTTGGTGGAGTTTGACCACTTGTTGATATGGGAGGACCTCCGTGTGAAATTGGCGATTGCAACGTGGAGATTGGTAGCGGTGTTCTCACTCTTGGGGAATTCTTCATAAACCACTAATTTTTCAAGGAGCTCTTCAAAGGTCAAAGGGCTGACGTGTGTGCAAGTGAACGTCAATATCTTGCGACGTGTGTGCAAGTGAACGTCAATATCTTGCGAAACTCAAATCCAAGAGCATTGATGACATGCGAGGTGAGATCCTTAATTGACACTAGGCTTTCAATAAGTGTGAGCTCATTAGCAATCAATTTGAGGCCGTGGAGAAGTTCAAAAATAGAGTTCGAGTCACGAGTTGACAGTTGTAGCTGTTCCTCGAGAGTCATCACTCGAACACGGAAACCATTGGCATACATATTTCCCAGGATGTGCCGTGCTTCCCATGAGGTTTTAGCAGCGGAGATGGGATTACAAATTCAGAGACTGACGTGAAAATAGCATGGCGGAGAAGCTGACTTCAACGATTCCAAAGAACATATGTAGGATTAGGATCGATAACTTTCCTGTGAGTAATTATGACTTTTTGAATGATTACGAAAGTAAGCCGTCGATATGGCCCAAAGGGATTATACCTCACGAGCAAGGACATGAACTGGGCACGCTATGAAGAGTAGTTGGATGGCAAGAGCTTGACGGGGAGTTGGGCGGCTGCATTGATGGCAATTAGGGTCGTGCTTTTGGCATTAGTTGTCATGCCCCGAACCTTACGGACGCGCAACATCCCACTATGATCGTCACGATGCGACGTCCCAGGACTCGTCTTCGACCCTTCATTTTATCTTTTAATTACGCATGCGGAAGCGATAACAATAATCACCCGAACAACTACAATAAATAGGGATAGACAAGAAAACGATTCACAACAGTTAAACAACAACACCATTTTTAATATTCCCTTGATTAACCCCTGGGAACATTTTTACAAGCCCACTTCAGGCATTACCACAAAAGCCAACAAAAAGATACCAGGCTGGGGCCAATTTACTTCACCAACAGGTCAATCCCAAAAAGCCAGCTTCCAGACACCCCGAACCATATTGGGTGCATCAACATGCTAAGGGCCTAAAAAATGTTAACAACAACAAATGAGACGAAAGTCTCAATAAGTTAACGGCCTAAGCCCCGTTTAGAAGGCCAACTCACCTCGGAGTCCCTAATCACGCGACCACGTGCTGGACACAAGTCATTAATCAGCCACAGGCATCCTTACCTCGCTTTGGCACACGTGTCATGCATAACATCAGTCAACAATGTCATAACAATGCACACAGCACAACACGTACTCGGAACACATAAAGAGATTTCACATGCATCATGCGTCCATACTCGCGCGTGTCTCGATTATAAGGTAAAATCACTTGGGCACGTCCCATACCATGCCTAGCAATATTCACCGCATAATCGAACACTATGCAACATGCGTGTTCCATTTCTTAATTTCTCATGACCTCTTAGGTCTAGTGCAATATCAAGCGATACACAGCGAGATGGCAGTCTTCCGGGATGACTGGGCATCCGATAAATCAAGCGCGATCTATAGCAGACCTCGACAAATCAGGCATCCGATAAATCGAGCGCGATCTACAGCAGACCTCGACAAATCAGGCATCTAATGAATCAGGCGCGATCTACAGCAATCCCCGATAATCAGGCATCCGATAAATCATGCGCGATCTACAGCGGTCCCCGATAAGTCAGGCATCCGACAAATCAGGCGTAATCTACAGCAGTCCCCGATAAGTCAAGCATCATCAAGCGGTATCCAGCAAGACGGCTTCAACATGTGACCACACGAGCACTCGAACATTCAAGCCAATTCTTATCTTTTCATTTAGCCAATGCATGCATGAGTCGTGCTTACATCAATACCACAGAACAAAGCCAAGTGGTCACATATGCAAATGGTCAATCGATTTTGTGAACCTCATTTCAAAACATAATTTTCATCCTTAAGGCATTAAATTCATTTAGCTACTCCAACTAATCAACACGACCATTCGTAGAATAAGCATCATAACTCAAGCATATAAACCACAATGTAACATTAGAATTTGTCCGAGAATATCCATATATAATTTCGGAAATTAATTATTTAATACTAAAATATTAATATTTAAATCCGAAATTTATTTACTTAATAATAAAATATACTTAATTCCAAAAATAATCATCCAAATCATTTAGCCAAATACGCTAATTTATACGGTAAAATCCAACTATGGACTCACCATCCAAACATATACAATCACAATTCGGCATTAAACTCATTTGAAAATACTAATATTTAATTTTCGGAAATTATTCCAGGCGTCGGCGAGGTCGGCCTCGCCTCGCCCAGTAGCGGCGAGGTCGACCTCGCCGACGCCTGGGTCGCAACGGCAAGGTCGGCCTCGCCGCTGCTAGGCCTCGCCTCGCCCGGTGGCGGCAAGGCCAACCTCGTTGTCGCGACCCGGGCGTCGGCGAGGTCGGCTTCACCTTGCCCGGTGGCGGCGAGGCCAACCTCGCCGTCGCCCGGGTCGCGACGGTGAGGTCGAGCCTCGCGGATTTGGGCGAGGCTCGACCTCGCCCTGGCTGGGCCTCGCCTCACCCGGCGGCGGCAAGGCCGACCTCGCCGTCGCCTGGGTCGCGACGACGAGGCTCGACCTCGCCGTCGCGAACCAGGCGACGGCGTGGTCGGCCTCGCCTCTGCTGGGCGAGGCTAGCGAGGTCGACCTCGCCGGCTCTCTCCTCTGGCCGGTCGCCGGACTGGTTAGAGGAAGAAATCATAAATAATAAAAAATTGCCATGTCAGCGTTGGCCGGACGGCCGGCGTCGACCGGCCAAAATTGGCCGGAAGGACTGAATTGGCAATAATTAAAAAGGTTTAGGACTGAATTGGCAAACTTAAACAGTTTATAACCGAATTGGCCGCCGTACAATAGGTTTATAACTTTTTTGACAATTTTCCCCGTCACAAACTAACATGTTCATTCTGCTTTTGTGCTAATGTCACTTTATAATAAACATGGTACGAATATCAAATACTGATGCAGCATGACGATGTAGCATGTTTTATCATTAAAATTATCAAATCATTAAAATAATTTTACTTCTATGAGTTCTTGCATGGGAAATATATTTATATATCAAAATGAATGATTTTATAATTTCTATTATCAATAAAAAATAAAAGAAATATCTAAATAAAAGAAGGAAAAGAGAGAGAGAGAGACGGGGAGGGGCGTGGTGTAGATCAAAGTCCAGGTGGCTTTGAAGCTCAAATCAATACTTTAGGGAAATATTGAAAATAATTGAAACGTTAAGGGGCAACTTGTCACATGTGCCAAACACATGGGGTCAAAATATAATTCTCCATTTGTTGTTTGAGATTTTGAATATTGGATTTTCATTACACACTACATATAGTTTCAAACAAACAAACATTAGAACGAAGAGTTGCATACTTGCATCCTAGATTTCGAACCCGGGATCTTGGGGACTAAAATGGGAGTCACTTGTCATAGTTAAGCAAATTTTTCACATATTTATCAGCTCTTGAATTTTCACCTTTTCAAGTTTACCACCTCATGCAATTTGACTTTCATTTAATATAGAATACACAACTTTTTCAAAATACATAAATCCATTATTACTTTTTAAAGTTTAAATAATACTTAAAGTTTTGATTGAACTGAAATTCATGGTCATGGTCACGGACTTGCATGGCAAGAATCTGCAACCAGAGCGAGGCTGCCAGAAATAGAGTGTTTTAATTCACTGGTAGCCAACAAGCTGGATATTTTACTATCAACGCAGTACTTTGAGAGCTCTAGCACGATTGGAACTTCACTTTCCTAACCTTGGAATGTTCACACTTCGATTGTACACCATGACTTCAAAAGCTCAGAGTAGATCGGCAAAGCGGTTCAGTACTCGGAATGACATTGGAAAGATGATGGGTTTGAGATCTTCGATTTTCACTCGAATAATACGTTGTTGAGGAGGATCAAGCTCAACTTACATCAGGGGGCACAAACTGGAGCAGACTCTGATGTAGTTGCAGCATCAATTCGGTTGTAGAAGACAAACCGATGGTCTTTGAAAACTGCAACAAGATCAGTGAGAAGGACTTTCACAGATGCTCTTTCGCTTTATGCTCCAATCACCACTTCCATTATCATCATCAGGAGGACTTCTCACTCTTATATAAATCCATGGACTGTCTCACCGTTTTATCATCAGATGTGTCCAGTGAAGGCCAGACATACTTATTGATTTTCATCTTGTGTTATGATAGATGTACCCCACAACTCTTCAAGACTACATTGGAGGGCGCTCTGTTAACTACGACTGAAAACATCAAGCACAGTGAGCCATGCAGCTGATACTCGACCACCTGATGGGACCAATACAAAGCTTGTGAACCATAAAAGAGCCACAAGTGATCTGAGTCAATGCACTTCATGTCATTTCGGTCATTCATAATGCATTGACCATTGACAAGGGTAGAGAAATTATACTCTATGGTACCGTCCATCGTCCCGCATTCTTGTGCGAGACTTTCTTCCAATCCGAAGACGGCACAAAGAGTGAAGGACTTGCAATTCAAAAACCTATCCAACGGCACTTGGAAACATATTGAACCCCCCTCGCTTTGATGGCTAAACCACTCGGGAATTTCACTTCCTGGAAAATATGCGTCAACTAAGGTCGTTCTCAAGTCCTGCAAACCAACTCTAATCTGTAAATGCACCACTCTCACTTCATGTGCGCATGAGAGAGAGAGAGACAGAGCGATACCTCAGCTGATGGTCCGTCAGCAAACCAAGTCATGTCATGGCAATTAGAGAAGTCGATCAATTCAAGGAGTGGTAACTGCTTCATGTCAGATACAGACACTCTTGACAACCACAAAAACTTTCTCGGAGACTTGCATCCACTTACATACAGATACTGAATGCTTGGTGGCAACTGTGATATTTCTTGAAGTTGTCCACAACGCTCTAAGCAAAGCCAGTCCGAGTGAAAGAGCCTCCCAATGCTCGCAGGAAGGCAAACAAAAGGGTTCTCAGATTTGTTAGTGTTTGCGGAAGCGTGATTTGTTTTGCAAGTGAGCGAGTGATTTAGTGAGAGCAAGTGTTGGTACGTGGACTTGAAGCAACAATAGAACAGAACTTTTGATAGTGGAAGACAAGTAGGAAGCAAAGAAGACAAAAGGAGTATTGTATTATGAAGGCTTTGTACAAGGGACTTAGTTTTTTCTTCTGATGGGTGTGTCCTTGAAGTGGAGAGGGGTTGACTATTTATAGCCCTCTTCCACCGCCATTAAGGAAAAATCTAGAGCATGTTACATAGATATTTTTCTAGAGTTTTCTACACATATCTCATTAACCTTCTAGAAATATCATAGCTTTTTTTTAGAAACTCTTCTAGAAATATCTTAGATATTTCTCACAACTTTCTAAATTATTCATCTAAGTATCTATTCTCCAAAGATCTTGAGTATGCTAGAAACTTCTAGAAATTGGATCACTATTTCAACAGATCTAAGCCTCTCAATGTAGTGAAGCTTTGTGGAGCCAATAGGTTATCTACATCTCTTAAATTGCAATTTCTGAGAACAAGCTCCCCGAGACTTGCAGACCTCAACAAAGAGCAGCGATAAGGTAAACATATTGAGTCTACATCTTCAATGAGCTCAGGAAATTTACCAAGTTTTGAGCAATTACTCATATAAAGCAGGCGAGGGCAATGCATTTTATACATGCTTGTTGGAAGACAGGTAAGGTTTTTGCATCCATCCAAGAATATGGCTTCAAGATTGACCAGATGTTCAAGAGATGAAGGCAGCTCCTCTATACCGGACTTTTCCAGGCAAAGATCAGACAGACATGGCATGTTTTCACCGACACAAGGAAATGTTTTTAGCTTGGTACACCCACTTAAGGCAAAAGTTTCAAGAGATCTTAATTTGATGATGGAAGGAAAACTGCTGAGGTTAGAGCAAGAATGTAGGTCCAAAGTGACGAGCTTCAAAAGAAATCCAACCGACTCATGAACTTTAGTTAGGGCATTACAGCCACTAAAAATTAATGTCTCAAGATTTTCTACAGTTGAAAAATCAGGGATTTCAATTAATCGTTCACAATCTGCAAAATTTATGGATTTCAGATGCTTGAAATTCTGCCAAGAAAGGAGAAAAATTGGTGACTGACCTTGCTTGATTGATAGCAAAAGGAAAAGAATCATTATGTAAAAGCAAAGGCTATTTGTACCTGGAATCCCGCTCCCAGGCTTTTGATGTTGCTGCCCCTCAGATTAACTACCTTAAGTTTCTTCAGGCCAAAATTAAATTCAAGTGATGGAAGAGAACATCCAGCCAACTCAATCCACCTTAACCCAGAAGGAAGTCGGAGAGGAGTACCAGAAAAGTGTGCACCATGCATTACAAGCAGTCTAAGACTCGTCATATTTGCGAAGGCATTGTCACCCAAGTGCACCTCTTCAGGTCCAAGTAAATCTATAACTATGCCTTCGACTGCATTTGTCCCCTGAAAAAGCAAAGTTAAATTGATTCAGTCATCAGACTTTTGACACCCATACCCAAAAGAAGTCACTTTTTAAGTAACAAGGCCAGTACTAAACCTAAGAAGGAAAAGCGGAACCATCAATTTCACCGGAATATATATGTTTCACGTTATGACGTATATAGGAACCCACCAAACTGTTACTCAAAAGATAGAGCACATCATCAGTTGACCACAACCTACTACGTTGTCCAGGCTCCCTAATAGACTCTTGGCGAATGATTTCCCATCCCATCTGCTGAAGCAAATCGTGCATCTGTATCACACCATACTCAATACTAACAAGAGATCTCTCTATGAGAATCTGTATCCCAATTACCGAATCGAATCTGCACGCATCTAAAAAATCCATTATGTAGTCTTTACTCTTCCCCTGTAAGAAACAAGCAATATCAAGGAAAATGGACTTCTCCTGTTCCTCTAGTCCATCAAAACTAATTTTAAGCATGTTGAAGATCTCTTCATTGGGAATTCTTTTCAATTTATCCAGCGTGCTCTTCCATTCAGATATGTTTCTAGTTTCTACCTCGCAAAAGAGAACCTAATACTATGAGGTCTAACGGAAGACCCTTAGCATAATTTATCAACATATACGAGAGGTTCTCATAACCAATTTGAGGACGGATATCCTTAAAAGCATTCCAACAGAAGAGCTGAAGAGCATTCTGATCATGTAAACAATTGATTTTACGTGTCCAAGGAACATTGTGAGCTACTAATAAATGTCCATCTCTGGTTGTGACAATGAAAGGTTTATGACTCAATTAGAATAATTGAAAAGTTTATGACTAAATTGGCACAAGTGCAATATGTTTAGTACTAAATTGGTCAAATTGAAGAGGGGAATGGGAACTGTGGTGGCCCCAAAGAGGAGACGTGTTTCTGATTCGAATGTATCACATATCATGCATGAAGCAATCCCCCTGGCTTTGATTCCTTTGTCGTATCAATGATTATGAGTCGCTCAAATGCACCTTTGACATCTCAAATCTTTATCCTTTGCTCGTCATTCATGACAACCCCTTCTTTTAAGTTTTCCGTCCTTAGCAAAGGAAAATCAAGTAATCTAAATTTCTGACTCTCATGACGAGCCATGGATTTATAGCAATGATAAGTGATGTCCTAGCTGGGTTAAACTGTATGATTAGGGCTTTTCTAGGGAAAATTACCAAAAAAATCCTAAACCTATTGCACTTATGCTAATTCAGTCCTAAACCTTTCAATTTGGCCAATTTAGTTCTAAAACTTTTGACAATTTATTAATTTAGTCATAAACCTTTCAATTATGTCAATTGAGTTCTAAACCTTTTTGACGATTGTCAATTTAGTCATCATATTTTTTACGATTTGCCAATTGAGCCCTTCAGACTAATTTTGACCGAAAATTATTGATGTGGCGGTTTGATTAGCTCAAGTCGTCTTATGTGGCAGATTCGGCGCTGATGTGGACAATTTTTGTAATCTTTTTTAGATATTATGAATTTTTTCCTTTTTTTTCTTTCGTTTCTTTTTTTCTTTTTTCTTTTTTCCTTGTTTCCCTCTGCTGATACCTTGTCATCGGCATGGGCGAGGCCCGGGACGCCCTCGCCGGCCTCTAGCAAGGACTAGGAGAGGCCCTTCGCTAGATCCGGCGAGGGCCAGGATGCCCTTGCTCGCCTCTAGCGAGGGCATCCTGACCCTTGTCGGAGGTTGGCGACCAGTGGAGGGAAATAAGGAAAAAATAAAAAAGACAACGGAAAGATAAAAAAGAAAAAGGAACGAAGAAATTTAGAAAGATTTTTAGAAAAATTACAAAAACCATCCATATCAGCATCGGTCGTGCCACCTAAGACGATCAATGCCGATTGGACTATCACGTCAGCGATTTACGATCAAAATTAGCCGGAATGACTAAATTGACAAATCGTCAAAAAAATTTTGGTACAATCGAAAAGTTTTTGATAAATTTGACACAAGTACAATATGTTTATAATTAAATTGGCCAAATTGAAGAGGAGAATGGAAACCAAGTGGCCCGAAAGAGGAGACGTGTTTCTGATTCTAATGTATCACATTTCATGCATGAAGCGTTCCCTTCAGCTTTATTTTGATTCCTTTTGTCGTATTAAAGATTTTTCAAGTCACTCAGTCGTACGTTTGGCATTTCAAAATCTTTATCTTTTGCTCGTCATTCATGACAACCCCTTCTTTAATTTTTTCCATCCTTAACAAAGGAAAATCAAGTAATTTAAACCTTCCAACTCTCGTAACGAGGAGTGAATTCATAGTGATGATAAGTAATGTCCAAGCAGGGTTTAGCTGTTTGTTTAAGGCTTTTCTCGTTATACATGCCTTTTGAATTTTGCATGTAGATGATTTTCATCAATTAGAGGATGGAGTAAAAACATAACTTATTGAAGCTGCGTTACGTCATATGTAAATCCCTATGATATGCCTTTTATTTCTTTTACTTATATTGCGTCGGACTGTGTAAATACAAAAAAAACCCAAAATTGCCAATTCCAAAACCAATCTCTCTTTTTTTTCATTTCATTTTTTCGTTTGAAAAAATAACGCAATAGCATCGGAATCAGATTCCCAAGGGGACGATTACTGAACTTAACACTCTAAAAAGAAGAAGGAAAGTACCACTTATGGCATTAAAGAAAATGCCAAAGGGAGAACCTTTCTCCACCCATGGTTTTCCAGATTAAATGTCATGAATTCGAATGGCTTGTCACTTCACCCACCATTCAGGACAATAAGACAAACAAAACATCAAGATCAAACTATATCTTGGAGGGGGATAAAGCCATTGGATTTTCTCTCGTATTATCGTCACGTATGACAAGAAAAAAAATTGAAATTGGAAGATTAATTTGCTATATAACACTCTAAAGCTACGTTTGGTCGACCGGATAAAAGTCAGGATATGATATGTTTTATCCTATCCTGTGTTTGGTGGTGGTCCATGATAGGATAAGGTCGGATATAGACCGGATATAGCTCGGATAAAAAAATCCGAGGGGGTGGGATAGACCTGGATAGGATTTCTAATGCCTATTTTTTTCAGAAATCCTACGCTCCACTCACCATTATCTTCATCCCCACACCTTGTGCGCTTTCACCAAAAAAATTTCTTGGCTTTTTTTTCTTCACCAACTTCTCCGGACCCGTGAATAGCAAAAAAAAAAATTATCCTATCCGACTTTAAATCCGTAATCCACTAAACAGTGGATAGGATATAAAGAAATCCCAGGATTTCTTATCCCATTCTATCTAGTCCTATCCTGTTTAGAAATCCGGACAACCAAACACAGCCTAAAGAGTCTCAATTCTTCTTCATGAGTTTTTTGTTTTCTAGTGGATTTTGCTTGGGCCTTTACTGTTTTTTTCTTTTGTGGAACTCGAACCAAAACGAGAGGACTTTATCAAATAGGCCTGGCGACGATGAATGGACAGGTCAAACTTTCGGCCCATTATGGCCTTGCTTATTCTCACGAATTGCAAAATAAGGATGCGCATGGCAAAATTTCTGTGCCCGGAATCTGATTCTGCTAAGAAATAATTCTTTTTTATTCTATGCCCGGAAACTGATTCTGAGCATTTGAAGGCATTTGGTAATGGTCCAAAATTTCCATTCCCGCAATAGAAAAAGAACAAAAATACAGCACAAAATTTCTTTTTATTAATAATATTTTAATATTTCTTTCTTTCTTTTTTCCTTTTTTTCTTTTCTTTTTTTCTTCTCCTCCTTTTTTGCCATGGCTTGCTCGCCGGCCATGGCCGGTTAAATTTTTTTTATTAATAATATTTTTATTTAAAATATTTTTTTCTTTTTTTTTGCCATGGCTTGGTCGCCGGCCATGGCCGGTAAAATATTTTTTTATCAATAATATTTTTTATTAAAATATTTTTTTCTCTTTTTTGGCCATGGCCTGGTCGCCAGCCATGGCCAGTAAAATATTTTTTTTATTAATAATATATACTTTTTTATTCATGGCCTGGTCGCCGGCCATGGCCGGTTAAATATTTTTTTATTAATAATATTTTTTTTGTTCATGGCTTAGTTGCTAGCCATGACCGATAAAATAATTTTTTTATTAATAATATTTCTTAATAATAATATTTTTTTTTTGTTAATGGCCGATAAAATAATTTTTATTAATAATATTTCTTATTAATAATATATATTTTTTTTGTTCATGGCCTGTTGCCGGCCATGGCCAGTAAAATATTTTTTATTTTAATAATATTTTTTTATTAATGCCACGACCTCCCTGAACTGGCCTTGCCGCCAAAGTAGTTTGGCTAATGGATTACTAAGTTAAACCTAGCTCGAGTTATCCCAAGCCCATACAAATTCGCGACTTAGGTTTAAGTTATTAATATGCAAATCAATTTCATTTAAGAGTCGCCACTAATCAATTTTTAGTGGGTCGATTAGACACCTAAGTGAAGCACGGGAGAAATGCTTCACTTCTACGAACCAGAGATTCAATGGGTACGGGGACTTGATTACACTAATTGACCAATTAGTGCCACCTTGTTCAATTACCGCCTAACGTGTTCACACTAATCGGGAGTCTCAAAATTCGATTCCTAACCAAGCTAGGGAAAGCAACAATCAACACATGAACCTAACATGCGTAATCAATTACATACGAGGCTAAATTAAACGTGCGATTCAAAGTGTGTGAACCAAGCGACGTGCGCTCAAACATGACACTAATCACACAATAGGGCAAGAAAAACCAATTCCAAAGTCCAAATAACATTTTTTGATTTTTCAAAATATTTCAATTTTTTAATGTTTTTTTAAAAATTGATTAATTTTTTTAAATATTAAAATAAATATATAAACGGACCCGGGTCGGATCTCCACATCCGACCCGGATCGAAACTGACCCGGGTGTGCTGGCCCGGATCGAGACTGACTCGGGCGCATCGGCCCGGGTCCACAACCGAACCGGGCTCATATATTGAGCCCAGTCTAGCAAAACTCCTTTTTTTTTTTTAAAGAAAGGGCCCAGCCCAAATTTGTTTTAAAAGAACAAAAACTCATAGCCTAACAAGAAAACGAAATTTCAAAACCTTAAAAACATCGACCCACAACCTATTTCGGCTCATCCACACGAAACCCTAGAGCCAACCCTACCCGGTTTCGACCCGTTCGACCGACCCGGTTCGCGGCTGCCGACGCGACTCGCGCTAAATCCTAGTGCCCGTGACCCGAGTGCCCGACCCGACCATCAGCCTCCATCGCCGGGAAACTCAGCCACATGGCCGGAACGCCCGCCGTCGCTCCGACTTGGAGCACACATTCGGCGTTCCACCGCCCGCCGGGCCCTGGCCTCCGCGGCCAGGGTTTCCGATTCGGCAGCCGAGCCCATGCTTGACTGTCACCCATCAATCCCCGGCCTTCGCGGCCGGGGTTTCTAGTCCGGCGGCCAAGCCCGTGCTCGGCCTCCACTAGACACGCCTTAACCAAAGAGGTCAGTGCTTGTGGTTCTGCGGCCGAGCCCTTGCTCGGCCGCCGTTTGGCTCATGCCCACCCAGCCTACATGGCCGGGTTTCGTCCCTTCGCGACCGGGCCTATGTCCGGTCACCGCTTGACTCTCCTCTACCAGCCAAATGCAACAGAAAACAGTTCGGGCATTTTGACAAATAGATGGCGTGCGCTGTGAAAATGAGAGATCCTAGGCTCGATCGA